ATCTCTGCCATTTCCAAGTTTCCTGTTACTGCTTCTCCCTCCTCACTGAGCAGTGGGCCTACCCTGTCCTTGGTCTTCCTCTTGCTTTTAATGTATTTATAAAAGGTCTTCTTGTTTCCCTTTATGCCTGTAGCTAGTTTGATCTCATTTTGTGCCTTTGCCTTTCTAATCTTGCCCCTGCATTCCCGTGTTGCTTGCCTATATTCATCCTTTGTTATTTGTCCTAATTTCCATTTTTTATGAGCTCCTTTTTCTATTTTGAGATCATGCAAGATCTCCTTGTTAAGCCAAGCTGGTCTTTTGCCATATTTTCTATCTTTCCTACACAGCGGAATTGTTTGCTTTTGGGCCCTTAACAACGTCCCTTTGAAATACTTCCAACTCTCCTCAGTTGTTTTTCCCTTATTTATTTATTAGTTATTTATTAGTTCCCTAAATAGAAGAACTAGAGGACACCACATGAAATTAATGGGTAGCAGGTTTAAAACTAATAAAAGAAAGTCCTTCACACAGCGTGTCGTCAACCTGTGGAACTCCTTGCCAGAAGAGGCTGTGAAGGCTAGGACTATAATAGAGTTTAAAGAGAAGCTAGATAATTTCATGGAGGTTAGGTCCATAAAAGGCTATTAGCCAGGGGATAAAATGGTGTCCTTAGCCTCTGTTTGTCAAGGCTGGAGAGGGATGGCAGGAGACAAATCGCTTGATCATTGTCTTCGGTCAGCCCTCTCTGGGGCACCTGGTGTTGGCCACTGTCGGTAGACAGGATACTGGGCTAGATGGACCTTTGGTCTGACCAAGTATGGCCGTTCTTATGTTCTTATGTATGGTCTTCTGAGGGGCGAGCCCTAGGCAAAGGGCTGGGCCAGGCAGAGAAGTGACTCTCCCCCCCCACTCAGCCCCTCCTTACCCCAGTACTGCTTCCCTGCTGGTGTGTGCGCCGAGGGGAACAGGGATGTGAAGACAGGAGGGGAGTGAAGGAGGATGTGGGGAAAGGATCGTCAGGGTCAGGGTTTGCGCTGTGGAGGGATGGGGCAATGAACGGGATCAGGCTGAGGGCAGAATCATAGGGCTGAGTGGAGCAAGGCTGGAGCAGAAGGAAGATGTGAGGAGGGAGACACAAGTTCTCTTTGCAGAAGCTTGCAGGCCTGTACATTGTTCAGTCATCTGTAGCACCCTTTGGCATAAGACCTAGTACATTTGCTCCGCTCCAGGTCTCCAGCAGAGTAGCTGCTTTTAATGCCAGTGCCTGTTTCTGCTGGCAGCTCAGCTCCTAATTTGTTATTTTCCCCAAAGCTCTGAGTAGGGATGTGATCGACTCGTCAATTCTCCCCTCTTTGCTGCCCTCTTTCTATCAGAAAGAAGCAGCAAGGGAGGAGGGAGATCAGGAGGTGCTTCAAAGTGGCAGTGCCACATGGGGTCCGGGGTCAGCTGGGGACAGGCTCCATGCAGCACTGCCGCTTTGAAACGCCGCAGGGAGTACGGGGCCAGCGGGGGACTGCTTGTCTCCCGCTGGCCCTATGCTCCTCACAGCGCTTTCATCTTTGAAGTGTAGAAAAGGTCTGGGGCTGTTGCTATACTTCAAAGGCAAAGGCGCTCTTATCAACAAATCGAATAGTCGATACAAATTGCATTGACTATTCGATTAGCCAATTAATCTAAATGTAACATCCCTAGCTCTGAGCTGTGTCTGTCTGGGGCTCCTTGCTTTTCCATAGGTCAGGCTCATCCAGCCCCTGTTCTGACTCCTCGGTTACTACCAACACCTCCATTGGGATTACCAGAAAACAAGCTCAACGGAGGGAGACCTCTCCCCTCCCTGATACGGAATACTTGCTGGTTTAGGATTCTTAAGCTAAATAGTTGCTTCAACATCTACATATAAAAGTGAACCAATGTTCTTTTACTTAATTTCAGAGCCATATAGTTGCCATGGGAACCACAAATCTCCATCATAACCCAGAAAGGCACCAGTGTTCATTTTCCTTCCACAGATGGGAGCACAATTATCAACCAGACACAAAGATTTTGATGTGCAGCTATTTGGCTGTATTGTCACTCTCTCACCTTTCCTGTGTTACTCCCCGAACCCTCTCCCACCCCCCAAACTCCCTCTTGCACACCACCCCATCTCCTGCTGCCAAATTCTCTTCTAGGCCCTACCCTCTGCACCCCACCTCCCACCCAGATCCTGCACCCCTCTCCCTATCCCACTCACTGGTAGCCCTGTCATGCACACTAAACCCCTCATATTTGTCCCCACCCCAGAGCCTAAGAGGGTTCCCCAAATCCACTAACCCTGGAACCCCAGAAAAGTAAATCTGGCCTATGGGAAGCTCTGAACCTCAGTCCTCCCTGTCCCTTCCCCTCACCCCGTGGGGCTAGAGCACCAGAAGAGTGAGGTGTCTTAGTTGGGGGGAATATCAGTGAGGGTTGGGGGGCTTTGAGGATTTTTTTTTTGCTTCTCACTTGTGTGGTCCCCAATTGATTTTTTTAGTGGGTCAGTGGCCCCCAACCCAAAAAAGATTCCCCATCCCTGCCACAAGTAAAGAAGACATTGAAACCCTTTGGCTACGTCTACACTGGCATCCTTTTCCGGAAATGCTTAAAATGGAACAATTATCCGTTATAAGTATTTCCGGAAAAAGCGCGTCTACATTGGCAGGATGCTTTTCCGGAAAAGCACTTTTCCCGGAAAAGCGTCCGTGCCAATGTAGACGCACTTTTCCGGAAAAAATCCCCAATCGTCATTTTCGCGATCAGGGCTTTTTTGCGGAAAAGAAATCTGTGCTGTCTACACTGGCCCTTTTCCGGAACAGTTTTCCGGAAAAGGACTTTTGCCTGAACAGGAGCAGCATAGTTTTTCCGGAAAAGCACTGATGATTTTACAGTAGATCATCAGTGCTTTTCCGGAAATTCAAGGGGCCAGTGTAAACAGCTGGCAAATTATTCCGGAAAAGCGGCTGATTTTCCGGAATAAGTGGTTAGTGTAGACACAGCCTTTGTGTTGGACATAGATTAATATTTTACTTTATTTAAAATGAAGTTTGATAAACTAACATGGGAGAGTTAAAACGCTTAATCTCTTTAATAATTTAAATTAAACTGTTCTCCCTAGCTGCAGCTGGTTCAGAAAATATAGTCACCATACCCAGTCTGCCCCTGTCCCCGCACACAGATCTGTAAATAGAAGTAAATAAGTTAAATCTTGGCACACCACTTCAGAAAGGTTGCCAACCCCTTCTGTAGAAAAAGGCAGTTGCTGCCTGAGAGAGGGGTAGAGCTGCTTCACACAGCTTTCAGAAGGCATCTTGGAGTGAGCAGATACCGTACACACCATCTTAACCCAGACATTGACTGTGGGACAGTTGCAAGGGGGGGACAGAACATGGCACAGGGAGGTCAGCCTTAAGCAGGTGCCTGGCTATCAGATTCCTGATAGCCCTCAAAAGGCCCTGGGTCAGAGCCCAGTGGAGTGGAAAAGTCCTGGTTTCCCTACCAGTAACCCCTTGCAAGTCACGGGCCTAAGCTATGGCTAGTAGATGAGGCTCTCCTACCATCTGATTCCCAAGCAAGGACCAAGCATGCACAAAGATACAGCTCAAAGCGAAAAGAGAGGTTACTAGCGTTTGCAGGTACTGCAGTTCTTTGAGATGTGTGTCCTTGTGGGTGCTCCACTACCTGACCTCTTCCTCTGCTTCAGAGCTGCCTCTGTGGGGTCTGCAGTAGTGAAGGAACTGAGGGCCTGTACTGGTCTCTGGCTGAAGGGAGACCAAGCTGCCTCACTACAGTATGGTTGGACCAGTTAAAGGGTCTGGGAAGCCCTGCTCCAGGGCTGGCCCACCAGCAGGTACGGTGGGGTGGCGGGCCGACACGCTAGCTGGATTGTAGTCCTAAGATCCAGGCCCTAGTTCAGGGCCAAGTGATAAACCGTTCAGAGGCTCAGGCCTGGCTGTAGGCTGGAGAGCCGACAAGCACAGGGGCTTTTACCCCCAACAGGGGGAAGCCTGTCACCCAGGAGTTGGGTGGCGGGAGGAGGATGCAGGCCCACCCGCTCCACTGCATCCCAGCCCACGGCCCTAACAGTGGCAGTGCAGGCTGCCACTGGGTCAGCGGAGATCACAACATGCCGACTAGGTCAGCGGGGATCCTGACTACAATGTGCTGCCTAGTTGATCTCCATGCTCTCAGCCGACCCAGTGTCGGCCATCCTCGGGGCCTACCTAGCTCAGCCTCTGCTCCTCGGGGTCTGCCGGGGACAATAGCACTGGCAGAGTGTCCATGGGCTCCGAGTCTGCGTCAATCAGTGGTCCAGGCCATGCAGCTCAATCTCCGGGGCCCAGCAGGGGCCTTGGCTGTCTGGCCCAGTCTTTTGGGCTTGACAACGGTCATGAAGGCTCAACCCAATCTTCTGGGTCCGGCTGGGGCCCTAGAAGGCCAAGCCAGTTCTTCCTTCTCGGGTGGGGTAGCCGGGCCATCCTCCTTGGGAGCTCGGGCAGAGCATCTGGCTGGCTTGGCCACTGGGCTCCAACCGAGCTTTGAGCCTCTCCTTTTACACTTCCGGCCCTTCCTCTCCACTTCCTGTGAGAGGCGCTGAGTTGCTCCGGCACCACCCTCCAGGAGGTCTGAGGATGTGTGTCCCCTTACAGGTTCAAGGGAGGCCAGGCTTCCTCATTACAGGGCCCTATATAATCTTGGTATAGGGTATGAGGATGTGTAGGGTATGTGAATGGGCACTGCTGCCAAAAATCTCCAGTCAAAGGTGCAAGGATGAATGCTTCCTTATTTAGTGGATTATGTGCATAGGATATACATTTGAATTATTTAAAAGCGTTTTAAGTAGGCGAGGAGGAGATCCGCTTTATGAAGGATGAGATGTGTATTTGTTTTTTTGAGGGAAAGGTAGAAAAATGGGCTGAGCAAGTGCCTGCTTAGTTTTCAGGTGAGATTCTTCTCTGCTCTTGTTTTGACCTGCACTTCAGCAATTAATTCTTTGTTTGCAGCCTCTGGCCTCTCCTCTTCTCCATCTACCCCAACACAAGTGACCAGGCAGCCTCCATTTCCTCTTGAATCATATAAACATGAACCTGAGCGACTGGAAACCAGGATCCACTCTTCTTCACCTCTGGACACAGGGCAGAGATTTACTCTGCCTCCACCCCAAAATGCAGCCAAGCGTCCCACAGTGATGCCAACTCCCTGCGCTACCTCAAAAACAGTAAGTAGAGTATTTTGTTCAGCTTTTTCAGTAGAGAGATACCTTTGCTTCTAAGTATTTTTAATGGCTACAGGGCTAGGAACTGTGCATGCATAAAGTGGGGGCAGGATTGGGGTAGGTATACTCCTTTTACATCATGGATGTCCAAGAGTCTCCATGTTCTATAGACAACATTAATCTGAAGTAAGGTATGCGGGGATTATAGGTCTCAGCAACTACATTTTGATCTGAAGAGCCAAGTCAGGGTAGGGTAAAGTTGTTCAGACCATGTATATATTTCTCCTAAGCCAGCATCTAAAATGCAGCTAGCAGAAAAGGAGAGTTTACATAATTTTCCTGATGGCCAATCATTTGGGGAAGAACCATCCACCACTCCAAGCAGAAACTCCACCATAGTATCAACAACAGGGTTAGAAATCCAGCTAGGCTCCCCCAAAGGGCTGGCCTGATGGGAGAACTCTCCTCTCATGGCACCACTCCCCAGCAGGTTGTCTTTCCCCAGTTCAGCAAAATGAAGAGAGGAAGAGCACAACCATGAAGGGACATGGGCAGCTCTCAAGAGCAGAAACTCCTTGGCAACATGTCAGCATTCTGCATAGGTTGTAGCCATCAACATGTCTGGCTACTTCATTGTTGTACCTGAAAGACTGGTTATGGGTGTTTCCAGCTTCACAACTTATTTCAGTTAACACACACACAGAGAAATTGTAAAGCCTTCTCATACAATGATGGCAAGTTCAATCCAACAGGATATTGATGTTCAACAGATCAAGACTTTTAGAATGATATCTTACAGGGCATACTTTATAAAAATAACTCATAATCATATCACCATACTGCCAGGTGTTGTTTTGGGATGCCAAGTATCACAATGACATTGTAAAGAGTTGTCCCCATTTGGTGTATGTTGGTTTTGGAAGCATTTAAACAAATAAAAAGTTGGATGGAATGTAAATATTTAGGGCCCAGTTTACCTTTACTTTGCACTTTGTTATGGTCTCATGTTTGTGCAAAGTACGTGTAAGATGATGCCATTCAGATTTAGTCATCTTCAGTTTGCTGCAATATAAATGATGGCAAAAGGTGGAAAGCAGTGAGGAGTCAGATCATTTATGTTTAATTTTCAACATATGTCTTTAAAATCTATTAAATCCTTGATAAGATCTACTGAGAGGGAAATGTGTTAGGAGAATAGGACTCATCTTCAACAGCTTGAATATGATAGTGAGACTGATCTGCTCAGAACTTTTATGTCTTTCCATAACTAAATAGCTCACGCTTTTCTCGGTAGCACAGGTCCACAGCAATGCTCACAAGTCTGACCATACTAGAACAACATTAATTTATGAGCATTGCATACGTAAGTTTGTTATCTCCATTTATCTTGACTTTTAGCTCTTCTGTTATGGGGTAATAAAACATTTGTGTTCATAAAGCACATACCATAAACAAATCCCTAAAAGCCTTGCTGCTTATTAAGGCAGTTTTTCCTCTGGTTAATGATTATTTTAAACCCCCTCTGTAGAGTATATGATAAATGATTCATGCTAACAGTTGTGGAATGCCCTTTCATGCAGTTTCATCAATCACAGGGAGCTTTTTCTGCAGAGTTGGCGACCTGTTTTAAACATCTTTTAAAAGAAGAAATCACATTTCTTCCAGAAACTTTTTATTTACTAGACTTACAAGTAACAACCTGAAATTATTATAACTGTTAGAGTTTAGAAAACATCTCTTTATTTCCTTTGTGTGTCTGTTTTCCTCTATGTAGTCAATTACTTAGGTTCCAGATATTCAAATGGTTATGCACATTCTTAATTTTAAACACAAGTAGCCCCATTTTAATTATATTCTCTCTCTCACACTTTGTGTGTGTGTGGGTGTGGGAAATAAATTTTCCTGCAGGTCAGAGTGACATTATCACATCACTCTACATCCCGCCTCCTCCCTTAGCCACGTGGCCTCTTCCCTCCCCCCTGCTCCTCTCTGTCCCCTTTCCTAGTTCTCCTGCAGCCCCAGTTCATTCCCCCTGAATCCCTGCTCTCTTCTCCATTTCTTGCCTTCTCAACAGCCCTGGGCGTGCACCTCTCCTGGCAGCCCACTATGGAATAGATGGGCTTGGTGCTAGTGGCATCTCCTAGCTGCCCTGACGGGACCCTGCATGCAGCTTTCAGGGTGGGGATGAGGAGCGCAGGGGCCCGTTTCCCAGTATTGGCTTCAGCACCACCTCTCCAATGTGTCCCACGGTGGCGCCACTGCTTGATTCCCGACCACCCAAGATGGCAGACAGACTCCCTCAGCAGGAGTGGATCTTGCAGAAGATCAAGAACATGGACAGGGTCTGTGTGAGCCCACCCTGCAGTGAGGGGTTGGGGCTGGTGATGTGCAGATGGCGAGGGACTTCCTGCCCAGTGACACCCAGGGCTTGGCAGGGCCCCAGCACTGACAGCTCCTCCTCCCAAGATACCCAGGCTCCAGTGAACGCTGTGGAGGTGCAGCCCTTTGGTAGCAAGTAGTGCAGCATACCACTTCAGAGCAGATAATCCGAATACTACACACTAATATTCCAAGTAATTAACTCCAACCAAATGGATGTCCAGGTTAATTATTATTTGACACATCTCTGCTTGTGAGTATTCCTTCTAAAATTTTAGTTAAGGAATATGTCTACAATGTTCTGTCAATAGTGCATGTGTGTTTGTGGGGCCATAGTGTTGTAATGGGGAATTTAGCTGATAAGAGATCAAAGCTGTTACCAGAGAATAGCATGAGCTACACTTAATGGGTCAAGTGCAACTTGATTTTTCAATGTACAGTTTGAGACAGCTTGTACTTTGACCTGCTGTTGTTTGGACTATGTGACCTTCAGGCAATAAGTGGCGAATGATAACTTATTCTTCTTTAATGTGAAATTACTAACTGTGGTTGGAATGCAGAGAGAGATTGTGAATTGAATAGTGAACTTGTTTTCCTTTTTTCTGCTTTGCCCATTTTGAAATAGAAAATAATATGCTGAGCTTAATGTTGCTCTTCTCCTTTTGATTCCCTCCTGACTCCTCCTTCCGCGGAGTGATGTGATGAAAGTGTCAGTGTTTCATTTATCACAAAAGATGTTCACATTTGAAGAGGACATCATTGCCGGCCCATTTCAGTGCCTTCTCCTCCCCTACCTGAGAATAAATCATCTGGAGAAAAGAGAATTTCCAGATTTTAAATGTGGAGTTTCCTTTGAATTTTATTGGGGAGAGCAGGGTTTGAGCCTCCTGCTCCTCCCAAAAGTAGTCAAGAATCCTGCACTCTTAATGGTAGGATCTCAAAGAGACAAGAACATCTGCACAAATTCCCCTTGCCTCCCTAATGCCCACTGGTTCTACAGTCTCCCGCCAATCTCTGTAAACTTGTCTTTTGGTCATACACTGAAAACCCCTCCTATATACTCTGGCTATTTCCCAACACCCATCTCTAAAGGGGATTTCTCAGCAAGAAAGGGATGCTTTAACCTAGAATCCTGTGTTGGACTCTGTAACAGGAGAGTCTAGTCCCGCCTCCTGTTTTCTCTAGTCTCTGGTTATTCCCTCGATGGTAGTCACCCGAGGTGGGGTAGGGGGGGCCGGGCCCACCCACTCTCCCGGACCCCAACCCAGGGCCCTGAAGACAGGTACACGGAGACCTATCCTGCTGGTGGGGCGCCTGCCCGAAACTCACCAGCTCGCCGGGTCTCACCCGGCCTTGGGCTACTTCCTACCCCCTGCTTAATATCCCCGTGGTCCCCACCTTCCCGTGTTGCCTTCACCCCCCTTCCTGGTGCGTTCCTTACTTCCCTCCACCCTTCTTCCTCCGCTTTTGTTTCCTCTCCCTCCTCTTTCCTGCTATGCTCCACTCCGTTCCGCTCTCCTCTCCCCTCTCTCCCCGACCCCGCAGGGCTTTTCAAAGAGCCCGCGCCGGCGTCCAGCCATGATGACGTCGGACGCTGCGCAAGCTAGCCCCGCTCCCTTCTCCAGTCTCCGCTCCCCCGCCGGCCATGTTTCCTGGATGGTGGCGGCAGAACAGGCACAGCAATTCGCCCCCGCTCTTCGGGTCGTCCCCAGGAGCGTCAGGACGACCGCGGGTTCAGTGCGGGGCGGGCTGACGTCCGTGGGGAGGAGGCGGCCCGCTCCATCACAGACTCACATGGAGCTCTACAGTGGGACCGGGGAACCATGGGATCTGCTACCATGGGAGTGGAATGGGAATGGGATTAAAATAGTCCCACACAGGGATCTAGTTTAGCCTCAACCTTGGGCTGTTTTACCCTGCAGGTGTCGAGTGAGGGAGAATCTGGAGGAGCCTAGTCCACATGTGGTTTACCCTTTCAAATTCAGAGCCCTCCAAGAGAGGGTGGAGAGGAGAGAATGAACCACAGAGACAGAACTGTATCCTTCACACCTAGACATGGAGGGGAATATGGGGCTTCAGTGAGTACCTGGCTCTTTAACATTGGCACTTTTCTCCAGGGCTTTTAATACTGCTCCTTAGCCAAACTGTAGTAAACTCACAGACACAGTTGTTTACCTGTTTTGCATAAGGAATGGTTACATCACACGCATCTGTGGGCAGGGAGCCTGAGAACCGGGCTATGCACAGTAGGTCCCTCAATCTGAAAGCTGTGCCACACATCAAAGCCCCATAGTCAGGCTGCTTTATTGCAGAGATTTAACTCTACTGAAGAGAATTGGGACAGACTTTGGAATCTAAAATGGTCTTACAAAGGCCTTGTGGCTTGGGGAAAAGGAATCAGTCAGTTCTTTCACTGTACAAAGAATTCAGGTGATTTAAGGTAATATATTGATGCAAAGACATTGGTATGACAGCATTATTTATATTTATATTGATTTATATTAAACAGAAATTACAGACAATGAGAATTTAATAATTAGCTACTCTGTCACCTGCCAATGAAGGAGTCTTTCCTAAGTATGTTTCCTAAAACAGTTATAGCCAGTATAGTTTTAAATGCCACTGCTT